AGCACCTCAGTCAAACTGGTGAGGCAAAGAAAAGACCTCATTTCTACACGCCTGTGATTTCTCTGGTAGTAAACCACTGTTCTCTACTGCTGCAGATGCAACGTTAACAACAACACAACCAGCGCTCTGCTTTGTTCTTCCCCCTCATCTTTACAGCACACAGGCCAGCTACCAGAAACAACACTTCAAAAGATACTCAGATTGTTTACTGAAGTAAAAGTACCAGCAGCACAGTGTAAAAATACTCTAAGTAAAAGTCCTGCATTCCAAATATAAAGCTACAGAAATGTAATTTAAGGTAGCACTAGCATGAAACTCCAACTCAACCCAGCACTCTCTCCCTCTGCTCCACTATGCTCAACTATGATTTGCTACGCTCTTCAGATATTTGTTGTTATGAAATTATAATAAATGGGAATGAAACACAACTTGCTGATCATGCAGAAATAACTGAAAATCTCTGATTGGTTAGAGAGCTCAATCCTGCTCAAAACCTTTTAGAAGCTACACTAATATCCCCGCACTGCTGTTCAATGAGTCTGGGTCACAGGAGGCTTCAAGTTTTCTTTTTTTTTTATTTAATCAAATTGTTTTTAACTGAAATTACGAATGAATTCTGAAGTGAATCATGACACTAATAATCAAAACTGAATTGTGAGTTCGCCAAAGACTCCCACCCATATCAGTTTATGAATTGGTTCCAAACTTTTGGCCTCGTGTACCTGTAGTGTATGTGAATGTTTGTGGCTTACTGTACTTAGCATGAACCAGCAACCGTCTCTCAATCAGTCTATTGAATCAACTGAAGGAAAAGTAAGTATTAAATACAAGAATGTAGTGTAATTTTGTATTGTTTGGCGCTATTAAAACCCTGTGTTTATGTGTGTGTGCATATGCTTCTGTACTTTTGCATGCAAATGTCAGCCTTTGATGTGACCATATCTGTATGTGTATTTATGTAAATGACATGTATTACATAAGATTGTGCTCATGCACACATACTGTATGCCTGCTTCTATGTGTGCATCAAAATGTCCCTAGGGGCTCCCATGTTGTATCTTTGAGACCATCTTTCCCTTTATATACATGCAAAAGGATTTATGATGACAAAAGTTGCTATGTGGAACAAGTTAAACATTACTCTGCTTTCCTGACAAATGAAAACATAAAAACCACATTTATTTAAAGCCAAAACATATCCCAGTTTCCTCAAACCACAAAAAATTGGGAACAAAAAGAGGTTTCAGAAAAATGATATGAATGACAATATGCTGTAGCAGCACACTACCAGTACCAAAACAAGGGATCTTGTCTGCAGACAGACTGTCCAAGAAGACTGACATCACTTGATGTGTTAATTTTTCCCCTACAGTTTCCAAAGCAAAACATATTGTTGAGGCTGTTGAAGTTGAAGTTCTGTCAACTTGTATTTTCAGAGTATTTGTCCTGCTGAGTACCTATACCATTCAAAATACACTTCGATTCCAAAAACAACTGCATAGCATATGCAGTACACTTAGTAGCCAGGAAGCTGCAGAGAGGATGTTGCTTCTCATGTATCTCTAAATGCAAAAGGTTTTAAAGTCAGAGAAGAATGCCAACAGTAAAATAGAAATATGTTTGACCTTAAATATGATTCAGATTTGAAAGGAATGGTGATATTTTGCAGCATTCAGAATATATTCATTTTCTAGAAATGATATGAACATACCAGGAAAAATGGCAATGTGCTTTATGTTTACAGAATAGAGGTAGATCACAGTGTCTATACTGTATTGTTACAGTGTGTCTCAGTGTCAGTGTGTCTGCCAGTGAACTCAATGTCTCCTCACCGGTCTGTCTCCACTCTGCAGTTTGGCTGTCCACTGCAGTTTTAGGGGGCGTTTAAGTCCAAGCAAAAACTTGGAGATCGAGCTTTGTTTTAGGGCACTGGTGTTAAAATCTCCATACTGAATGATAGATTGACGAGAACAAAATGAACTGAATCCATTATAAGATGAGTCTGAAACATAACAAAATGTGGAAAACTTGAAAGGGCCTGAATACTTTCTGAATGCACTGTATACATAAGGCTGTGACCTTATGTTCAAAGTACATTTTGACCCTGGAAATAGTAGCTGAGATAACAGTCTCTACATAAAGTGAATTTATTAGCTGCTAAAGAGCTTCTGATCATATCACATGACCTTCATTGTCCCTATCTGTTGATGAAGGCCAAGAATGAACTGCATCATGTTTTCTGCAATTTAAGGTAACACTGGTTTCTTTGAAAATCTCTGCAACACAATTTGTCTTCTTTGGTTTTCACATGGATGACTTGGCATTCTGTACACACATGTAGCTGACACTGTCGCCACTGTTACATTTATCTTTGCCATCATTGGTCGTTGTTGTTGTTAGAATCTGGATGTCATTAACTCCATTACTGTTCTTGCCATCTTCGTCCATTTCAGTGTCACATTTGTTTGCATCATGACAATCAGGATCAGACCTGCTTCATGACTCTACCAGATGACTAACCCTGATGCTTAACAGAACATATGGTTTGTTTTTACCTGCACATCTTGCATCCTAAATTGACTTAAATCAAGTGCTTACAGAAGGGAGACAATTCGGCTCCAGGTAGACTCTCATGTTATTTGCTGGAACTATGATGCACTGGAAAATGAAGTCTAGACAATTATATACTATGGATAGGTAACAACAGACAGTAGACAAATGATCTTTTTTTTCACTCTTTCATTAATTTTCTTTAACTGGTGCATACTGACTGTGGGTGCTCTGATGTGTCATCAGTTCATCAGTATAATGTGTTGTGGCTCTGGTCACTGTGGTGCATCCAGTAGACTTGTGGCTTGGCAGAACAGGGACACTGTGCTGTAGAAGTGCTGGTTTGGCTGAAGAATGAGCAGAAGCTCTGTGTGGAATGAATGAAAACTCCACCCGCTGCCATTTTTTGACTTTTGACAAACATTTGACAGGGTTTATTTATTGCATTCAGTGACCCTATGACATGTATTTATTGCATGTGAACTCTGTGCATCATTTCACTAATGGAGATGATTTTTCAGCTGTCCTGGCCATAGAACAGCTCTCCTCTGCCTCGGCACACTATTAGAGTTGTTTGTTAACCCGTTTTTCTCCACAGGACTGCTCACTTGCTCTGGTAATTCAGTTTTTCATTCATTCATTTCCATACTGCTTAAACTTTTATTAGTTTTACCCAGACGTTCTGCACCCACTGTATACTTTGGGTAAAAGCTGGAATGTGTCAGTAACAGTACACCTTACCCTGTGAATCCCTTCAGACACAAAGCAATGGTGGATGAGTAGGTTGTTTTAGGTTCTGTCAAAAAGACATTCTAAAACAACAGCAGAGCCACAGTGTGATTTATGGACCATAGTCTACTGTATTCAAAGGCTGATCAACACTGCCGCATCAACACTGAGATTCCACCTTCTTTCAGACATCTGGTGGCAACTATTTTTCATGGTTTCTTGCATTTGCAGGCTGCTTCAGTCCTGTTATAGCAACATGTATGCTATACTTGTCTATTTCACACTGAAATAGAAATAAATCTATAGCATCTGGCAAAAATGTAAAAAACTTGTACTTACATAATGATTTTCTATGCACTTACTGTAGGTGCACTACAATATTTGCCCATTCACATAAAAACACAGCAACAGTCACTCATACCAATGATGATGGCTAACAGGAGCAACTTGATATTCTGTGTCTTGCTCAAGGACACTTCAATATATGGTGTGGAGAAGCCAGGGATTGAACCACCAGCCCTACAGTAAGAGAGTGACCGAACAACAGCCACCCCAGCATGAGGCAGAAAATATCCAGCCCAATCTCACATAAAAATGTAGAATAGCTATTTTGGTCCACAGCATAAAGCTTAGTAGCATCTCAATGGCAATAAAAAAGTGTGACATGCCAACGTTTTTGTATTGCAGCCCAGTGCCCTTCTTTGTGGTGTTCTTTGTGGCTTATGGTAGTTGGCAATATGTATGCCATAAAGAAGCAATTAAGAGAAGGAATATTTCATGTATGGGATATGAAGAAGAGGGCAGGAAGAGATGCACAGAGTATGCAGCAACTATTTTATCAAAGGTAAAGTTCAAAAATAAAAGGCAGCGCAATGCAGAGTTCAGACTGTGCAATATTTTTCTTTTGATCACTGTGTCAGATTAGAAGAAAATCATGGTATACGTTCTTGCCATTACCTGGCTGAGAGTAATGGCAGACTATATGTATGCCAACAAGGTTTTATGAATGCAATGCAATGTCTCACTGGCATTGAAAGTGATTGTCTTTTCCTACCCAGTCTGTGGAAAGCTTGTGTTCATGCTGTATGTGGTTGCAGGTTCACTGAATTGAGATAAAACATAATTCATGTAACATCAGCCATGTTTACATTTGCGCATTGTGATTCAGTTGGTTTGTGGTATGGAACACATACATGTTGCCAAACTAAGTGAGAGGATGCCTAGAAATTGTGATACCTTTTTGTCAGCACATTGTGACAATATGATGGTTATCCTCCATTACTACATGGGATTAAAGGAGCAAATATCAGGCCATTATCAAGCTGATGCTGTGCAGTCTAAATATGATATTGATATATTTATAGTGATGAAACAACAACAGTTAACCTAACAACTGTTATGCTCCTGTAATACAACGACAAGCAGACTCTCTCTGCCCTTGTTCTGTTTGTGTGTACTGTTTTTCCTTTTTAAAGAAAACTGCTTTTTCCCACTGGCTTAGAACATGTTTGAGGATGTCATTGTGGAATAGGCTGGTGTTTTGTATGCTTTTGTTGTTTTTTACAAATCACACACAGAGACTAAAACCAAAAATGAATTTTGTGTACTCACTGTAATGTTTGTGAATCCAGAACCTGGTTTAACTTATTTGTCTGTGCCGCAGACCTCCTTCAAAGCAAAGACAGTCACACATTAGTTCTCTGTATTGTTTGTTCCAACAGGAAGGCCGGCCTCATCCTCTCCCAGTTAGATGAGCTCTCGCTGTGGTGTAAGGGTCTTCTTCAGGAGCCAAAAATTGGCCTTCGCAGGATGTCCCTCAAGTTCCTGTCGTGCCGTTACACTGACACCAAGGCCTTTGGCCTGAACTGGTCGGACATGGGCCAAGATGTACACAAGGCTTGTGATGAGCAGATGCTCACTGTCATGTATAATGACTATGGTGAGCCTAAGGAGTTCTAACAGTTTTCTAAGATTTCAGTTTGGAGGTGCACAGGAATATATATAGGAGATTTATCAAGCTCATCAAAATTAAAACACATCGCACACCTCCTCTCTAGTGTTCTATAAACACCAAACATTTTCAGCTATCTTGCTTATATTTGTCAACCCCAACAAAGAAGCAATTAAAATGCTGGTTTTACATTTACTTCCATAAGATATATGCATAACCGCACAATGTCATAAGCAAACGCTAACCATTATTTGTAATGTCATTTACTCTATTTAGCTTTACCACTTTATAAATGTATCTAAAAATCTAATCAGCGCTTCCAGGTAGGACACTGCTGAAGCCTGCACTGGAACTCTGGTGGTACTGGTGGCTGTGCCTTCTGTAAGGTAATCCATTCCTCCCTTGCAATGATACGTAAAAATCAAACCAAACTTAACACATTTTACAGATGCTTTAGAATAAAATTACAGCACGCATCATCATTTATCTTCAGTCCCTCTTCTTACATAACAATGACATATACATACATTATATACATATATACATA